AGCATAAAAACAGAAATAAAAGTGTTTTTCATTATCATACCCCTAAGAGAGACGACAAGCATCCCAAACCTTTTCATATCGGAGCCCCGCCCCCCCTTCCCCCCCCCCTCCCCCACTCCAGGAAGTTAACACCATTCTTTGAATATATTGTGGATTAGACGTATAAAGGACTAAACAGTTTGTGCTGTACTGTTTGTTTCAAGGTAAACATGAAGTTCTGATTGCCTGGATGGGGGAGGATGTGGAAGGTTTCCAATTAAGTCAGATGCATGTGTACTCTTTTTGATTTTTGAATCGGAAATCAGTCACTTTTTTGTTATGACTATACTGTGAACCAACAAACCAATGGACTTCAGTAAGCTCATTTTTGATCGGGTTTGACTGATCGACTTTTCTGAGTGCAATTTTCGCAATGTCAGCAAAAGAAGAATTATTTCAATATTTCTTAATGAAATTTCCCTGCTTTTATACCTTGCTCCCACAAATTCGTCACATTCTGGCATTCCCTTCCATCTGTTGACTCTCTCGTAGCGTCCGAAGTCAAGCGAAAGTGAATCGATAGCCTCCATATCGCCATCAATTTCAAAAGGTCGGAGAGTAGGACTGCAGTGACTTCCGGTAGCCATTTTGAATCCGTGAGACACATTCAGCATAAAATGGCTGGCCTCTGACCTATCCAATCCCTTAGCACCCTGTCTTTAGGGTGACAAAATACATATCTTTATGACTGAAACAAACCAAAAAAACCTTAGAACTTTAACCTCTGTGTTTTTCTTAACATTTGAATTGCGCTTAGAACTAAGCTACTAAGTGGTCACAGTGTAAGAGCGATTATACTTATATCCTTTGGTAACAGCGTAAAATAAACAATTTAAAACGAACTAATGAAGAAGTCGATTAAACCTTACCAGTGCAGATCACTGAATATTATTTTTCGGCTGGGATATTCATTGTTTTCCTTTCTTCCCGGCCCCGCGCAAGATCTGACAGGAAAGCACGTGACCAAACATCACACAAGGCTCGAGGAGGTCTGGTCCCAAATTTGATTTGTCGCCATTAATGCTAAGCTTTGCACGATGTCGAAACGTAAAGTTCAGTTTGCTGAGAAAGATGGAGAAGAAATTCAAGGAGAATCTTCTTTGGGTCGAGTCAAAGCACACTCTTTGGACAGCGATGAAGAGGGTGATGATGACGATGGAGTTAAAGACGACGAAAAGTATGTCCTACGAGAAGAGGATTTGGAAGGTCAAGAAGACGCAACGATCGACTTCGACGAAGGAATCAAAATTACACCGTTCAATTTGAAGGAGGAAATGGAGGAAGGCCACTTTGATGCAGAGGGAAATTACTTTGAGAAGAAAGAGGAGGTGATTCGTGATGAGTGGCTGGATTCGCTGGACTGGGTGAAAGTCAAAGAACGAGGTGATCAGTTTCGGAAGTACATCAGCGATGATGAAAGCAAATTTGAAGACGCCGATGAACCAGCCGATCAAATTAACAAAATGAAAGAGATTTTAGGCATAGTATTACCTGGGGAAACAATCTTGAAAGCGCTCAGACGTCTTGGTGGAAAGGAAAGTGGTCGCGGAAAAAGTTCGTCTGCTAGTGCACGCTGGCAGCTGAAGGCGAAGAAAGCAAAAGTTTCCGGGGATAACAGCGAACATCCTGCTTCAGAGGAAGATAAACAAACACTTTTAAAACTTACCGAGCTGGCGGACCATCTGCTTCAAGCAGGGAACTTCAGCATATATCAAGATACATATGAGAAGTTGGCGCACAAAGTCAAATCTATGGAGGAAAGTCTGAAAGAAGCAGACGAAGATGATGCCCTGGAGGTTGCTTTTAGACAGGGGGGAGGAGAGGGTGATGGAGCAGCCATGGAGACAGAAAGTTCTGACACTGCTAAAACAGAAACAGCCAATGAAGATGAAGTGTATTGGCAATACAAGTGGGAAAACACAAAAAATGCAACTGTGTATGGACCATACTCATCAACTTATATGTTGATTTGGAATGATCAGGGATGTTTTGGAGATGGAGTGTGGGTGCGAAAAGTTGGGGAAGATGAGGGACCATTTTATAACTCGAAACGTATAGACTTCGAACTCTACACCTAAAGCTCAAAATTTTACATTCACTGGTTTCCATTGTAGTGGTAAAATACAAGACAAGAGTCATTTCTTGTCAAAATTCATGGATGCTATGTCCTGCAAGAGGTTTTGGACGGAAAACCATCTGCGAAACAGTTCTTTTCAATCCTTCAAGATGCATTTATCATTGTGTTCCTTGCAAATAAGCAGGACACATGAAGCACCCATAAGTAACGGCAAGCATGTCACCTTTTTTGAAATGCTATATTTTGAACGAATAAAAAAGTGTAAACAACTCTTCTACAGTATAGAACAGGGAGGTAGAAAAATATTAGAGAAAATAGCTGGGAACTTGCTTTTATTCAGAATCTTTCAGCATAGATCTTGGATAGTTGCCTCCCAGGGAATAAACTGTCTTATTTCCCAGGCTGCTGGTAAAGGTACAGCGCTAAATTTTAGGTGCAAAATGGTGGTCATCTAAATTTATAACAATTATGCTTGGTGTCCGGTCACTCATCTGATCGCTTGTCCAGTCACTTGCTCTGTATTGAGATAACTCAGCATTAGTCTGCTCCCACAAAATGTTAGATGATGCCACACAGAAGTGACTTCACTCTCAAAAGAAGTGACTTTGTTCCACAGAAAAGTAACTGCTCTTAAGATATATTCCAAGATTCTGAGTAGCAATAAGATAGAAACAATGCCAGAAAACCTGAAGGTAACAAAATAAATGGGGGTCTTGCATTTCAAAACACTATGTTAAAAATATAGAATTTGTAAATGATTATCCGTACCCCAAACAAGCTGTGCAGAGTTGTTGTGTATCAAAAACTGGTTATCTAACAGATGGGTAGATTGTTGTCTTGTCTAGTTCAAAGTGTGATACTCTTGCATATATTGCTTGTGCATGTGCAAGTTATTTTATAAATACACAGAAGATACAGTGCAGAACACCCAGTGGGCATATACATGTAATGTTTTAGTTGGAAGAGGAAGTACAGCCAATGAGAAGAGCCTTTAGCACACAATAAGTGGAAGATCCAGAAGTACACATACTTTCTTGCCCCAAGAAGAACCTCCCCCCATGCAGACATCAGTTTTGCAATGAAAGTGGGAGTAGGAGGGTGTAGTTCCCCCAGGTTTACTACTGATCTGATAGTAACTCAAACTTGTCCAAAAAGCAAGCTGAAAGCACTTTGCTTTGATGAAGGCTTAACACACTAAACATCAGCTTAATAAACTCGCTACAGCTGTTAACTTCAAGGTGATAAAGGTAAATTAGCTACAGTCACAAAATGATCAGGAATTTGCCTAGTTTCGTGTGCCTCACTCGGCTTAAAACCTTGACATGCTGTACTTACACAACAAGACCAAGAGTTAATGTCCAGGCACTAGGCTATGTTCAGCTCTCTCTCAGGCCTTAAACATCAAATTGATTCTACAATAGCAATTTTGCATGTCGGAAATATCAAGGAGATTTTGAAAAAAGGGGGAACAATAAAGTTGCCAAATTACGTTTTATTATAATTGTACTTAAGACCGTGAGGGTTATTCTATTACACTGATAATGCCAGAAAAGAAGATTTTGAGAAGAATAACACAATGGCCATACATCCATAACCCAACTACAACAAATTTACATCCCGAGAGTAAGATCACTTGAGTCTGCAAACTGTTAACATTTCATAGATCAATATTTTGCAAACAAAGTTCAGTTTGAAATGATCACGTAGGATTCCTATGCAAACAACAAATTCAGGCCGTCTGCTAATTCAGGATAATACAACTTTAATTAA